AAACAGGAAACACCGGGACACTTTTAGCCTTGATTAAATAGTAGTAGCGCTGAGCAGCCTTATGCACTGTGTAAAGCGATGCTATTACCAATCACCTGTGAGGGCTAGTTGGATAAATGGCAAATGTGGTGGGCCACGCATGATGATATTTCATCTGTGTCTCCTAAGTACCGAGGAGGTGTTAATGCGGCATGCTACACAATGACATCTGAATAAGGGTTATTTTTGTCAGTTAAAGAAATAAACCCGCTACTGATGTGCGTGGCCAGAAGTACCTAGGTCAGACATCGGAACAACAGCTCAGTGTGCTAGAATATCATCTTACCACTCTCCGTGAATACAAACACACGTGACCTCAGACATAAACGTGTCATTACAACGCCGTGAACATTTGCCATTCTGAGTCCATCGGCACATCTTGCCAGTAACAAGAGCAGCCATTGCATAAAACAACAAAGAATACAATCGGCAATATACACATCAACCACCAAAACGAGAACGCGTGAAAATGCCTGACAGACGCCGAGATCTGAAAAAATTATCTGGGGTTTTTTTTTTTAGCGGAGGCATGAAAATGCGCCGGGAGCAATTACCGACAAATAACCGGACGTGCTCGCGCCAGACAGGAAGGAATTATTGGCCATTCCGTCCCTAGCAGCCACGCTTCATAATGCCACCACGCCAAGGCATCCACCACCACCCCCCCCCCACTCACAGCAGAGTGAGTCCAGGGAGGGAACGATCGTGCCCACCCAACAGCTCGCTCGTTTCGGCCCGAGGGAAAACACACCGTTGAAAAAGCTCCCCGAGACGTATACACTCGGCAACAGCGTAGTTTGTTCGCGTGCGTTCCCTCGCGAAAGAAACGTTCCCTGCATTTGTTGCGCTCAGACGGTTCTTAGCACTCCACCTCGGTACGGGTGTGCGGTGCGCAGCGGTGCGTGTTGCCGAGATGGACACTTGCTGGTTACCTTAAAACTGAAGACCAATCATTGATACATGGGGCTGAGACTCCGACAGATGGAAAAAAAAGTTACAGTGGAATGCATATTAAATCCATAAACTTGCAACTGCGGTTGGTGGATGGCACAAATATGATGCCTGTATGGGATACCTATAGTTGCCTCTGCGAGAATATATGGCCAATTATTTAAACGCCAGGGCCCTGCGTAACAAAGATGCTCTGCTTCTACTTCACGTCTCAAAATTCGGCCCATTCCCAGAAACCTGCGCTGGAATGATTGGTTGTGATATCTGACGACCTGGGGAATCCTGGGTAAGAGTCACGTGACGCGAAGTAGCTGGGCCGCAGTACACAGGTAGGCCTGGAGGGTGACGAGTGGCGTAATGGTTCAGCGTTAAACAGGCTGCTCGAGTAGCACAGGAGGGTGTTCAGAACACAAGGGAAACAGCAACGTGAGCTGCGATAGGAAAACCACACCGCACGACATACGGTCGTCGCATCACACCGAGTGAAGGAGATGCAGTAAAATGATAAGTGTCAGGTTTGAAATGTTCCCTGGTATTGTGCATGGGCAGACATTTAATCAAGTTGTGTGCATCATAGGAGGCGTTGGCAACATGGCTTCTGTGAGCACCGCGCTTCGTCTTGCCGACCCAAAAATGCACGTTCACAGAAATACAAGGCTAATAAGCAAGTTGGTGCTCCGGCACGCTTACGTGTAAAATATATTAACAACCGGTCTTGGCTTACCCTACGTACGGTGCGAAGGAAGTTCAACATACATATAAATATTTCTCCATATGCACAACCCATAATCATCCCACCCTTCTCAGATCCCGTTCCTGACAGTCCTCGGACATCCCCCCGGACTTTCCAGCACACTCCACTGCCTGACCTTGTTTGCCTTGCACAAGCATGTGTTTTATCTGTTAGCTTGTGACCCCATCTCTCATCACACACTGATCGTACACGGTATTACAATGCCAAACCTTTGCCCCCTCAGACTGAAAATGATTACGATATGTGGCTGCATTTGAAGCATATACATAATATACAGCACTATGTATGGTTTTATTTTAATGCTAGTTTCACTTCACGTTTGAACACTTGGCAGTTGTTAAAATCAAGCCTCCATCCTCACCATCCGGTGGGAATCTTGGATACAAGCCTCAAGGAAACATCAAATAATGCACGCCTGGCTGAAACATCTTTAGAGTGCACTGCATCGTGGGAATAGCCAGAGTACCCTGTGAGCTCCACCCAATCACACACACTGGAAAAATATAAAAACACTGACCTAATTTAGCCACTGCCTGAAAAAGCCAATAAGACCGGCCAAGTTGCTTCTTCACTACCCGTGCAAACGGATGTAGGGTAACAGGCCACATTTGCGCCGCTAACCAAGTTTGATTTTCAGTGACGTGGGTTTCACGGCAGTGCTCCAAGGATGTCACGATGTGTGCCACCAAGTCTACTGGACAATTTGTGAAAAAGAAGAGCTTTATAGCTCATCAGATTCCTCCAGTACACATTTATATTCTGATGTCAGGGAGAGTGAAGAAACCGTGTCCACAGCACTAGGTGGGGACTGTGGGCCTGAGGCAGGGGACATAATAAAACATTACAAATAACCCAAGGTCAGTTTGTGTCCCGAAAGTTGTATGTACGTAAGTATGTTGAAGTTCTTTCACACCGTACGTAGCCAACCGTGATAACTGGAGGTGCGGGGGGAGGAAGGACAAGCGAAATACAAAAAGCAATACTAAAGGAATGAGTTTTTCAATTTATGAGTTTTCAATCTAATTGGTTAATTAGATTTAAAGTGACATTTACAGCACACATTGCACTAGTTCATTCGGGAAATAGAATCAGACATGTTTTTTTATTTTATAAGTACGAGGTGAAAAGGAATGTTATTCAGTAATTTTAAAAATGTTTGCTTAAATGTAGAAAGTACAGTGTAAAAATCTTGCATGTTTTTGTTCTCCTTTACATCTTGGCAACTTTTTTAAAATTACAAATAAATCATTTGGCGGGACCCCGGGGTCTCGCAAAAATCAGGTCAATAATTATTGTTGTTCAGTCCGCCCACTCGTGATCCCGACAGCAACGCGCCGCCCACCCAGACTCTTGCCAACAAGCGCCAGCAGGCGGCGATCAACACGATGGGCGCCACCCCACCGGCCAAACGCGAGCCCCGGGGGGCGTCCGCCGCAGTCGCGCGCGGCGACGACGCCCTCCGCTCAGCCGTCGATCCTCAGCTTCTTTGCCAAGGCGAGCCCGCCCCCCCAGGCAGTGAATTTAACGTGTTATGTAATTTTTCAACTTTTTACGGAACTTAGTGCCCCGAGTAGCTCTCGACGAGGCCAATCGATTGACACTAGTTTTGTTGTTGTCGGTAAGGCAACAAGACTCGTGTCGCTACGCGGTTTTTCCCACCCCGGGCAGTGATGGGACCCCGGGGTCCTGCCAATTGCTTAATATTACAAAAGGTTTAAAACTCAAATGCTTGTTGTTGTTACTTTTACATTTTTAAAAATGCATTTGAATCTATGGGACCTTTCTTGGCAGTATAAAAAAAAAGAACAGGTTTTCCACTTTCTGGAAATAAAATAGGTCTTAAGGTGTCCAAACTCCAAATAGATACCTTTAGCCCGGAGTCAATAAAAAAGGCTGTCTCTGGTGTAGGCCAATCAGTTCCAAAGACAATGCATACATTGTCAGAGCACGTTGTTTGCATGTTTATTGCCAGACAGGGTGAAAAGCTATTCTTATTTGTTAGTTATTTTCGACTCTCTGAGTTACATTAACAGGCTAAATGTCTCACTAACACAACCACCGTTGCGGTGGTTTTCTTACATTGACATGCTAATCTCCCACAATACAATGGCCACCTCTACAGCTTCGTCGTCGTGGAGGTAGCCCAGCTCTCCGATCTTACATTGACATGCAAATTTCATCTCTAGCCCCGCCCACTTCGCGTATGACCCTTGGGCTACGCCCATCTCAAACCTTTATAACATCCTGCCTCAGCAGCTCCCCCGCTATATTATTTCACCTGATGGACGATTGCTTGTGTTGCGATCGAAACGTCGTGATTTTTTTATTATGTTTCTATCTTTGTGGCTTTACCGAAAAACCCAAAGAATATGAATTCCTGCTGTCACGAAAGCTTAAAGTCAAGATTTCTATTCCTATTTTTTTATGCATTTATATTTTAAAAGTTTAAATTATGAAACTAATTAGATTTTATCATATCCTGCAGTGCGATACATCTCTGTAAAGTCTAGATTTTTATTGCTCTTTGCTTTGCACTCTCAGATCTCTTTCTTTTTAACCATCAGGCTTTCTCCCAATAGAGTTGTTATTGCTTTGTAGTTTCTGCTCTGTCCCCCATGAATTACTCTCCCCCACTGCTCGTAACCCCCTGCTGTATTCAGCAAATTAAATTGACTATGCGCTACAACACAACCACCTGCACCAAACATGACACCATCCTCACCCTGCTGTTGCAGTCTCCATTCCTCATTGAGCACCTTCACCCCCATCAGGCGATGTACACCTCCGCCATCGTACAGTCTTGACAATTTGTATTTAGACGCACGACACAACCACAAACTGTGCTGCGTCGGTAATGGATTCGAATGAATTAACAAGGCATAGCGGCGGCATACATTAATTGCAGCTATGAGCAGTAGATGACAGGGGCACTTTAGTAAAGTCAAACATAATATACAGTCCCTCTTGACAATCCACTTTCACACCATGTCGCTTATGGGGGTTGTTTGAGTATACATCACTGCACTGGTGAAGGAAGGGAGGGAGGGGGGGCACCCAGGACTGGTTATCACTCACCACACGTTGCGAGTTCTGGTTGGGAATCTAACACAGGCCGGCAGGTTGACCGCGTAAATCAAGCCGCCCTCCACAGGACCGCTCCCACCGCACGTTAACCAACAGCCACCCACGACCCGCTCGGCATCACTTTCCTGCGGTTCCTGTGACCGCGGGCGCTGCGGCGTGCACGGAAGGATACTGAAGCTGCGATCTGTGATCTCGAGGTGCCAGAGGTTGATGCGGAGGTCGTCTGCGGACATGTACGTCTCGTTGTCGCTGTTTACGGAGATGGAGTTGATGTGGTAGGTGTGCGCGTTCGCGAAGATGCGCCGCGGACTCGCCTCCACCATCAGGTCCATGGGCTTCAGCACAGGCACCTGCCAACGGGAGCGCGAGCACGCGTGGTTGAGCCCGTGCGAGCAAATGAACAACGGGTCGGGGGGGGGGGAGAGGTCTCAATCGCCGTGCGGAATAACATCCGTCGCTCTGCGGCGTTCGTCCTTCCAGACGTTGACCCGGAGCCATAGGCTTACACGGAACAAACCTGCACGGGCTTTTGACTAAAGGCAGTCTCGGCAGCACGCAGTGCTCTCCTGAACCAATGCCACCGTGTACTTTGATGGCACGGGCACGAGCTTGCGCGAGCTGTTAAGCGGACATCCCACACCTCCGATGAACACGGATGGCTACGTACAGTGCGGAAGAAGTTCAACAAGCGTACATACACGTTAAAAAGCCATTATTTAATTCTCATACGTAAGCCCAAACCCAAAACTCACATTTCCACCAACCTTTGATTTGAATATTACTCGTAAACGAGGTCGTAAAGAATACACAAGGCGAAGGGCATGCCCATGGAGCCACAATTACTCAGGTCTCCAGTGAGAAAGAGTGCCGCTGATTTTCAACGGTGCGTCTCTCCCCCTTCTAGCCGCAGGTTAGTGACGTTAAAGGCTGCACTCACACGAAGAGCTGTGATGGTGGTGGGGTCTCGTAGCCTCCCATCCTCCTCCTTCAGGTTGTAGCCTTCGGCTCGCTTGTCCCGCTCGCTTATCTTCCATAACTTGATCGTCTTGTCTGCACACACACACACACGCATGCACATGTGAGATCCCCCGCATATCCTTAAAAAATGTTGGGGCCAGTGGCGATGTTGGGGCCAGTGGCGATGTTTACGCATCGCACCAGGGAATCATGTGAGGCTGAGTCGACCTAGGGGAGGCCCAGGACCGGTTCGAGATAGTCGTCACTGGTGTTGGCCGTGAGCGGGAATCGAGCTCAGGCCGCCAGGTTCATAGCGCGTGTGTATGTGTGTGTGCGCGCACACACACCCACAACCGCGCACAGATCCCCAGTTCAGCATTATAGATTGTTGTAGTGACAAGTGCTGTTCATGAGGACCTGTTGAGAACGCCAACATGGCACGTGAGTAGGTTGGTGTGCCCAGTAATATGCAAACCCACCCAACCGTTGTCTTCCCCATGGTGATATATCCAATCTAGAGTTGATTTTTTTTATTAACCTAAGTGAAAACTCAGAGACCAGGTTGTGTCTCCTTTGCAAGAGTGACATGGGTATTAATTTTTGATTCAAAGCTTTCGTGACTGCAGGGATTCATGTTCTTGGTTCTTTCGGTAAAGTCACGTAGAAGGGAAACAATAAAATAACAAAAATATAAAACAATAAAATTCTCACGACGTTTCGACTGCAACACAAGCAATCATCATCAGTCGAAACGTCGTGAGAATTTTATTGTTTTATATTTTTATTGTTTCCCTTCTACGTGACTTTACCGAAAGAACCAAGAATATGGGTATTAATGGTCACTCGTTGAAATCAGCGCTTGCCACTGGCAAGACTTGGACCCCAGTTGTAGAGATTTTCCCGAAATACACAGACCACTGCACCACCACTCCCCAAACACATATAAGCATACATACAATATTATGAGGCCTACTGGCCAAAAGGTTGGATATATTTTAGAATTTCATAATTCGCGCATTTCATTTGCTAATACAGACACATATATAACGAAACATACCCATATGCAGTATATGTAAAATGAGTAATATATATTCAATATGTATTATGCATGTACTTACAAAGATCCCCCATATAGCCTACATAGAATGTTTGGGCAAGTGCTGTGAGCAACCACCTATCAAGTCCAGCATGGAGAACCAAGAGTTGACATGCTCAGCATCATGTGCAGCTGTCTCTGTCTCCCCAGTGCGGATGTTTACACACCCGCACACTTAAGGTCGGATTTACCCCGACCAATTTCCCGATATCACTCGCCACCGATGTTAGCCATGGTAAGGTGTGACACTCGGGTTGTTTGCTTGATAGCGCTGTGTGCTAACTGCTATGCCATGGTTCCTCCACACTTTCGCGCATGCACCATCTCCACACGCACACGGCGGTAAATTTAAGCCAGCTGGTGCCACTGCCGCTTCTCGCAGCTTAGTGACGTCCTCCAATTGCAGCGATTGTTTCCAATTTTCCCCGAGATAGCTAAAAGCACAATCGCTGACGGTAGCTGGTTATATTTACAACATGTTGCGACGCTAATCCAGGCTTAAGCAATGCCCAGGCAATATCAGCCTGCTTATACCAGAACTATGAGAAGTGACTTTCGTGTTTTCGTTTGTTGTCCTTCCCCCGCACCTCCGATTAGCGCGGCTGGCTACGTACGGTGCGAAAGAAGTTCAACGTACATACAGCCAAGTCAACTTAAGAGCAGTAAACAAATCGCTTCCCGATCAAGTCGTGTGAACGCAATAAAAAAAATCTGGACATGGCATCACTGCGCAGCGGGTTTGTTCCACAGGATTATTACAATGAAAATAATTACAGATCCGATTTTTGACGGACGCAACAACTCCGGTGCAGCGAGTCGCCAGCGCAAGTCGCCGGGGGATCGGTCCACATGACCCTCGCGCGCGCTTCCCCCAAGTGTGCGTGCGTGGCGATGGCGAGCGTTTCCACTCTCATCTCCGCTTCGATTGCCACAGCCCACCGGGTAACCTTGGCAGAAGATTACACGGTACACGTCGAGTGTGCTGTGCAGTGGAACCTACAGTCCATCAAATATCTAATCTTAGTCTGCATCTACATGAGCCGCATGAAAGACAAAGGAGGGGTGTGGAACCTTTTCCAAACTTAGGGCCGAATAGGCCCGGCAAATTCCATTGGCCACCGGCTACCAGATTAACACACGACTCGGCGTTATCCAACAGAAATAATAATGTCAACATAATTCGTTAGGGCCTACCTTTACTGCGCTAATGCAACTCTGATTAGTGCAGTTGGCTACGTACTAATGCACCTCCGTTTAGCGGGGTTGGCTATGTACGGTGCGGAAAATGTATTTTAGTCTTCATAAAGGAGCACGGATCATCTGCGTAACAAAACAAAAACCAACCTAATTAACATTGAAGTATAATTTTTGTCACTTTTGAACATTTTTGTCACAACTTGTCAAAAAATACATTCCTATTCCTACGTAAATACAGTTTTCAACGTATTTCCGGCAGAAAAAAAAAACATATACGCATTCAAATTATCTCTAAGAATACCTACGACAAAACGAAAAACATAGTAACATCACAACAGGTCACATGGCTCAGTTGCAATAGAGAGGTTGTGGAGGTGCAAAGAGACCCGTAGCATAACCGAGACGCTTGTTGACAAAACAATTTATTACACAATTAAACACGAAAAATAAAAAAAATAAACCGCTAAACCAGAGCAAATTGTTTAAGCTGTGCTGTCATTTTGAAGGCAAGCTCATCAGAGCTAATGTCGTGGCTGACCAGCACGTGGTGGTGGGGGGGGGTGTGGCGCGAGTTAGCCACTCAGGGAAATTAAAACCGTGCTCGACCCAGCTTTTAGTATTCAGAGATGCGCAGCCACCCGCACATTACAAGAGCTGCTCAAAAAATAGCCGACTGTAACGATGAAGGACTCGGGGGGACATCCTGGGTACGCGCGCACGTACAAACTCTGCGTCGGACCGCATTAGCTTAAGGTTACGTTTAAGCGCATTAGCATCCAGGGTCGACGGAGGGTGCCTCCTTTCTGCGTGGACACTAAGGTCACCTCGTGAAAAACATGCTTACATCCATTGTTAGCCACTTGCAGAAACAAATATTTTCTTGTCATCAAAGTGCAAGAGTTGTCTGCGAGGGATGCTGCCGGGAGTGTCGCGGCTTGTCCAACGGATTTGCAAATCCAGAGGTCGCCGGTTCGATTTAAAACAACGGACAATTTTATTAAATGTCCACCCGGCAGCACAAATGGGGACACCACACCGCACGTGGTGTGCGGTGGGGGGTGAAGTGTGGTCAACGCCCACCCTCTTTCGAGACGTGTGGCCAGCGTGGAAGAGGAGGCCAACATATGCTTTAGTGGTAGTCTCTAGAGCGCCCTCGAGTGGAGGCCTGTCCGCCAGCAGTGGCGTGAGAAAGACATTGCAGGGCTGCACCTTTACACATATATTTACATCCGAATAAATATATACGTAAAATAAAAAAAAATGTGGCCTGTTTATTCTTAGTATGGAATTTGCGGTGGTGTGTGCACGTTTGATATATATATTTTTTTACACTTTTCTGGAATTTCAAATTATACATAAATTGAAATATTTAGACAGAAAAAGCTTTCTGCAATTTTAAGGCACAGCAAGGGGAGATGTGGGCATAGGCTGTTCGGAAATCGAATTATTTGTTGTGTGAGGGGGGCAAGAAAAAAACAAACCCAAGAGCGTGTCCGGAGAAAACCCGAGCACACTCGAGGGAAAACAAGAACCAGCGGCTGTCACACACCCTCCCACAATCCCCCGCAAAGACAAAGATCCCACCGTGTAGCCTTAACAGACCGTTGGGGCAAGTGCTGTGAGCGAGTAGCACCTATGAATGCCGAAACGGCACACGAGGGGGGGGGGGGGGGGGGGGTGTCCAGCACCACACCGCATCAGGTACTCATTTGAGGCTGAGTCAAACTAGCCCAGGACCAGTTCAGATCATCGTCACTGGTGTTGGCCGTGAGCGTGAATTGAACTCGGGTCGCCGGGTTCGTAACGTTGCGCGTAAACCACTGCACAAACGCTCCCCACTTACATATATACACCATCAACCACATCCACCAGTGGTTCCGATAATGGAATATACTTGGTTTGTAGTCAACACCAAAAACACAAATAAATGATAAACCATTATTATTAATATTCAACAGTAAACAAAGCCACTGACCAAATCCCTTGAAAAGTGCACCATCTCATCAGATCTCATAAGCTAAGCAGGTATAGGCCTGGACAATTCTTGGATGGGTGACCGCCACACAAACAGGTGTTATCGGTGGGGCCACGTTGAGTGTTGGGCAGAGGGTAGTGCAGAAAAATCCACCGTTGTTTGTACTTTCTACGTTCTCAATGCTCTGCTCCCTGGCTCCCGCGTCTCACACCGATCAGCGTGATGGTACAATAACCCCCATGTCCCGCACGGCATGAAAAGACCGTAACAGAGCAGTAGATTGACAAAACAGCTGCACGTGCACGCCGAGTTGAATGGATATACAGATAGTCCCCGAGTTACGATGGTCCGACTTACGATATTTCGATCTTACGATGGCGATACGACAAAATAGTAAAATATTTTACATTTCGCGCGGCAGGCAAACGCAGCAGCATACGAGGTACGAGACTGTACGTCGGGACGCTGCCGGGGATGTACACGTCTCCCGCCTTGTGTGATGATGCCTCACTCTCGCCAGCGGTCGACCGACTTAAGTTGTCTTGGTGCTAGCGCGTGTACTGTAGCTTGTTTTGTTACTTTACATTTTACTGTGCAATACAGTATTGTAATTAATAAATACATGCAGTGTAGAGTTTATACAGTACGGTACTGTAAATTGCTCTGTTTTGCTAAATTATCACCATTCCATAAGGCTCCTGGGTAGGCAAGGCCATCTTCCCCTTACGATATTTTTGACTTACGATGGGGTCGTCGTAACGCATCTTTCATCGTTAAGTAGAGGACTACCCGTAGATATTTTTTTTTATTCATACAGAGACCCAA